CAATTAACCTACTCTTTCCTACCCTTTTCAATCACTTTTACACTTATTCTCCTATTTCAACCACATCACGTCAAATTTGACTCTATCTCCGTGTTTTTCATTTGTGACTATACTTATAAGACGGAGGGAGTATACAACAATCAAATTTTTTTCACTAATCACACACTCACTTCATCATGATCTATACGTAAAGAAACAATATAGTATCTTGTTAGATTCATGATTCATCTCGATATCAACTTCAATAATATTAATATACATCATTTCATTTGTGTATTAGAAAGGAGGATAAGCTTTTAGCTTTACTTATTATGTATTTTGAGCGTATAAAGAGCGTTAGTAAACTCTGTGATTTTGAGCATTTAGTTCAAAATAAGCAAAGAAAACTAAAATCGAGAATAATAGGGAACAGAAGTGGTAGTAGTACAAAGCTAAAAGCACCATGAGTTCTTCTTGTTTCGAGGTTCAAGCTTTAAGCATGCATGAAAGCATTTTATATTACCAAAAGTATAAGCCTTTGCAAAGACACCCCACCCCAAAGGAAAAAAGAGTTGAAGTAAGTACTGAGTAATATAAATATTGAAAGAAAATCTTAGCCAAACATCATTTTCATCTTAAAATATATATAGATATATAAAGGAATGAATTAGTGAACTCACTTGATGGAGAGGGTGAGTTGGGGCATCATCCAAATAGGAGGAGAAGGCCAAGGGGTGGGGATAGCCGGACGGGGCGAAGACATCACGACACTGCCATCTTCCATGTTATAACAGTATAAACGATGATCTTTTCTCCTTGTAAAATATATACGGTCCCCGGATCCTGAAGTTGGGCAAGAAAAGCAGTAGTTCTCGCCAATGAAAAAAGTCGCGTCCTTGATGCTTTTCATCCTCTCCCAAGCCATAGTATCAAAATTCATTCGGTAGACCTCAAACACTAGAGCTCCAGATGAAAAATGTATTAAAAAGAGTTCCCCGCAGGATTCCAACATATAGACATTGATGTAAGGAGTGAAGCAACCAGAGCTCATGTCAGCAGGCCCGTTCACCGTACGCAGAACGAGCCCAAACTCAGCCGCTCCCTCTTCAACTATCTCGATCGACATCATCGAGTAGCAGAAGCCGTCAAGCCAATCCGCACCGACCTGGGCATATACTTTGCCACCAAAGCCAACAGCCCTCCTGAAAAACAGGGGACTTCCATTTTCTCTAGCTATTTTATGCAACTCCTCTAGAAAAAAAGGTTCCAAATACTTCCCATAGCTTATTTCACTCCACTTTGTTTCTCCAACCCGACACAACATTATGGAGGGCAATTCTTCGAAGAATATTAACAGGGTCAAATTACCTCCAGGAGGTAGTAGTAGGAGGACACAACTGTCGATCTTGTGATTCCATAGGTGATGCAGATCAGGCAGGATTAGGGTATTGTCGAATGTGGTCGAGTTGCACAGAGACAGGGATTTGGCGTTGTAATCGTACAAAACAAGGCGGCCGTGAGCACAAGAAAGAACCTTTTTGTCGCGCAAGACTGGAATGCTCTTGATGTGTGTCTTGACCGGCGAGGGTCCTGTTATGTCGTAACAGAAAGACTGCTTTTTGTAACCTTTGCCGTGGTAATACACCAGCCAAGGGCACCGGCGGCCCGGCGGCGGTGGTTGTGACGCCGCTACTTCTTCTCGGTTCCCAGGAATTGTCATGTCTTCCGTTTCCTAGTAGAGAAGAGCTACTGGACTCCGTTTGCGCTGCTCCTCCCTCGTCCTCTGTGGTATTTGTTGCCGCCGGCTGTCGTAATCGACGACCTCGGAATCGGTGACACTGTGACAGATCTGGAGTGCTGAACAAGGGAGCGCCTGATGGAATCACTTTATCTTGAAGGCTTGTATCAGATTTGCAGAAGAACCATCGCCGGCGAGGAAGGAGATCGAGAAGAACCAGCGCCGACTGGGAAGAAGAAGATTTTCGAAGAAGGAGATTTGCGACAGACTCTTGAAAATACCTGCGACTTTGGTTGGATTTCAAAACAAATTTTTTATTCTTACTTCAAACCAAAAATCCATTAGAATTCATTTTTTTTAACGATCCTTAAAAATCTATCAACTTTTCAATATCATTATATTTAGAACGATTTTTTAAAATCTCAATGAATACCTCCAAAATTTAATGCATTTTTCAAAATCCTAATTAAATACCCATTGACTTTTAAAACCCAAAATAAATCCTACAGAGTCTGGATTGAATACACCCCCTTAGAACATTAATAAGAAAGAGTTAATGATGTCAATCCTATCGGGTTTGGATTTGGTCATTTCGAATTCTGGTTAATTCAGATTCGGATTGAGAACTGCATTCATGACCCAATATAATATGGTTTCGGTCGATCCAACGGATTATGATCTTCATTTTTTAAATTATAAGTAATTTTTAGATATATAAATCAATATTACGAATAAAAATACTAATATGCAGAAATTTTAGAAAAAAGTAAGATAATTATGCAATATCATTAAAATTTCATTTAAAAATATAAATTTATACATTAAAAATGAATAGTAAGAAAATAAATATAATTATAATCTTATTTTTATAACATTATATTTCATATTAATGTAAAAAATTTTGAAAACCCTTACATTACCGAGTCAGTAGTCGAGTTCGGGTTCGGTCAGGCTGACCTATTGTTTAGTGGGTCATTTTGGGTTCGTCAACAAAACCTTTGTTCAAAACTCGCTATTTTTGTATTGAGCTTCTAATAAAAAAACAAGTCAGGTCATTTTTTATTTAGTCTAGCTATTTTTACTAAAATCAAATTATATTAGATCTAATCAGGTCATATCAAAACCAATCAAATACTCCCTCCGTTCCCCATAGATCTTCTCAATAGCCCTTTTTCTTTGTTCACAATAGATCTTCTCATTTCATTTTTTAGCAAGTAAAATATCACAACTACCCCCACTTACTTTATTTATTACACCTCACCCACCTCATTTAATACACTCCACCCATTTTCATTAAGGGTATTTTGGTAAACTTTCATCTTTTTTCAACTCTCCTTAAAAACCACAAAAAGTCAAAATGAGAACATCTTAGGGGGACGAAGGGAGTAATATCTTTTTAGATTAATTTAATTAAATCCAAAAAAATGTTGAAAAACAATACTAATATTTTTTCTATTATTAGATAATATTTAGTGTATAATTAATCAGTATTACATTATGTAATGTTTGTCATTTACAAATAATTAGAATTAAATATTATGTACAATTAAGCAATAATAATAATGTTACATATGAAGAAAGATAAGAGTGTGTGTGTGTGTGTATATATATATATATATGGGATTGACTCTAATGAAATAACACTTTATGGTGAGATGACATGTTTCGGTGAGATGATACAAAGCTCATCACACTACACTACAAAGCTCACCAATAGACAATGCAAAGCTCTCCTAGAAATAAAGTAAAGCTCACCATTTTGAACACCAAAAATCACCTTTTTTTTAATTTTGAAAATTAAAATTAATAAAAAAAGCAACACCGGTCAACCACCGGTCAGCGGCGGCGGTTGCCTGCGACCGGCAGCGGAGCGACGGCGGATTCCGACGACCAGTGACGGAGAAGCGGCGGATTCCGGTGACCGGTGGTGGATTCCGGCGACCGGCGGTGGCCGGCGGTAGTCCAAGGTCTCGATCAACGGTCAAAGTCTAGTCAGCACCCCTTTCTTTGATTTTATTTTTTCAAAAAAAATTCAAAGTGTTGAAAAAATATGGTGAGCTTTGCCTTACAGTTTGGTGAGCTTTGTAGAGTTCCTTGGTGAGCTTTGTAGTTGGCAGTGGTGAGCTTTGCATCATCTGACCGTAGCATGTCATCTCATCGTAAGGTGTCATCTCACTGGAGTCAATACCTATATATATATATATATATATATACACACACACACACACACATATACATATATATATATACATATACATACATACATACATACATATATATATATATATATATATATATATATATATTGGTTCTGGTGAGAATGCAATCTTAGGAGAGAAATGAGAATGAATCTGGTGCTTTAAATTGTGAGATCTAAGGGTCAAGATTTCATCAAAATTAGATGCACCAAAATGGTGCGAAAATGCATCCCGTTGAAATGCATCATAAACCTTCGAAAATGCACTATCTCAAAATCTGAGCGCAAGATGCAATCCGAGCCGCACGATACATCAGATTCGACAGCTAGATTTTATTCTCATTTCTCTCCACAAGGTGCATTCTCACGGGAACCGGCCCCGATATA